ATTCACTTTGATCTTAGGGATTCTCAGTGACTTTCACTAGAGTCCTAGGAATTCACAGTGACTTTCACTGGAGTCCTAGGAATTCACAGTGACTTTCACTGGGATCTTAGGGAGTCACAGTGACATTCACTTTGATCTTAGGGATTCTTAGTGACTTTCACTAGAGTCCTAGGAATTCACAGTGACTTTCACTGGAGTCCTAGGAATTCACAGTGACTTTCACTGGGATCTTAGGGAGTCACAGTGACATTCACTTTGATCATAGGGATTCTCAGTGACTTTCACTAGAGTCCTAGGAATTCACAGTGACTTTCACTGGAGTCCGAGGAATTTATAGTGACTTTCACTGGGATCTTAGGGAGTCACAGTGACATTCACTGGGACCTAGGTAGTCATATTGGCTTTTGTCCTGAAGAATGCTTGAGAATTATCAAATCGTAGAACTTTTGATAGCGAATGCAAATGATGTAAAAGCATGAAATGTTTGTACTGGTCAAATAATATTTCACATGATAAGTAAACAGTTGCATAATTCATGTGGTAGGGTTAAATTAATGCTTCATGCTAACACATAACTTACTGTCTTGATTGGTATGTGACCATGAGACAAATAAAGTAACCATCGGACCATGGATTGGTTTTACAGTACAAATAAAAATGATAAAGTAAGGAATTAGACAATTGAACATGAAATTGAAGAATAATAATTATTATTAACTATATAACATGGAGCAAACTATAGGTATAATAAACAGAACAGAACACGTAATAAAACACTGAACAGAACACAGAACAGAACACTTAAAAGAACAGAACACTAAACAAAACAGAACATTGAACAGAACAGAACAGAGAACAGACAGAAAACAACACAACAGAACAGAGAACAGAACACTGAATAAAACACTGAACAGAACAGAACACAAAACAGAACACTAAACAGAACAGAACATTGAACAGAACATTGAACAGAACACAACACAGAACAGAACACAGAACAGAACACAACAGAACAGAACACAACACAACACAACACAACACAACACAACACAACACAACACAACACTGGACACAACACTGGACACAACACTGGACACACCACTGGACACACCACTGGACACAACACTGGACCTGGACACAACACTGGACACAACACTGGACACAACAGAACACTGGAAGTGGAAGTGGAGATTCAGTATATCTCCAAATAGATTATTTCATATATGCATGTATACGATCAGTATCACTGCATGTTGGTTCAAGTTTGTGCATGATGCATGCTGTCAAACGCTCATGTTAACCTAAATTTGTACAGTCAGTACACTTCTAGGAGTTTATAGACGTAGTACTACAAGTGAAACTTTTACCAACAAACACTTGTGGTATATCAAATGCATGCACAACTACAAACAAAGACAACAAAATGAAATATTCAGAAACCCACAAATGATCTATTAATTGTGTAAAAATAATGCGATACTCAATGGTATTATACATGTATAAAAGAGTCATTATGATTATTATATTATTATCATTACAGTTGAAATAGACAAGTATGGTACATACTAGAGTCCTCGGCTTTGTCATCACTCAGTACTTTGAGTCTTGTCGCTTTCTCTTTTAATCGTTTAACTACTTCTTGTAGTTTTCCATCTTCATTTTCGCGGCAGGTGACAAGGAATTCATATTCTGTTTTACTCTTCTTACAAGGGCGGGACTCAATATGGGTCAAGTTCACACCACTAGCCTACGTACAAACAAAGAAATATAACAAAAGAAAATGTTTACATACTAATAGGGGACTTTTTTGTGCATCATAGCTATTCAGCAAACTACTGTAAATCATGTCTTTTTCGCGAATTTAGCGAGAGAACTGATTCGCTAATTTAAGATGTCGCTAATTACTTTATTATCAATTCAAAATGGCCACCAAACAAAGAAATCCACAATGACAAGAGAGATTCGCTAAATCAAGATTTCGCTATTACGTCATTTTACCACAATTCGCTAAAATTGCATGCCGCTTTTTCAACATGTTTTACAGTATTCACTTTGAAGCAGCAACAGTACTAAATGTTAATTGATATTTTCATTGATATTTTCATTGATATTTCATTGATACTTTCATTGATATTTTCGCTGACTTTTTAGCGCTTAAGTCAACTTTTGTCATCATTCACAATTTTAAACCAATAATATTTATTCATTCATTTATTTTTTCTGGAATTTTGATCAAGACTTGAAGCTAATAGAAAATTATGTTCAATTGGTCAAAAATTATCAAAAAACAAGTCATTGTCAATGACACGTCCCCGTTCCGTTCATATTTGAGTGACATATACATTCAAAGCAGATCATGGCCGAAATGCACCTGCATATGTACAACACATTGTACTAAATCTGAACAAATCCAGCCATGCATGACT